CATGTGCTGGGTGGGCACCAGGGGACGTCACGGGCATTGGCAGCTGTCCCTGCTGTCCCTTCCTGGGCCATGTGCTGGGTGGACACCAGGGGAGGTCACGGGCATTGCCAGCTGTCCCTGCTGTCCCTCCCGGGGCCATGAGCTGGCTGGGCACTGAGTGAGGTCACAGGCAATGCCACCCGTTCCTGCTGTCCCTCAGGGGGCCATGAGCTGGGTGGGCACTGGGGGATGTCAAGGGCAGTGCCACCTGTCCCTGCTGTCCCTCCCCGGGGCCATGTGCTTGGTGGGCACCGAGGGAGCAGCAAAGGGTCTCACCTGCGGCAGCGCTGCTGGCACCCACTTGCCCAGGCTGCTGTTGGCAGGGTCGGGGACACTGGGCCAGAGCTGCTCCTTCATCCTGGGGACCACGGGGATGGGGGACTCAGCGAGGCGGGCTGGAATGGGTGGCCTCAGCGCTGGACTGGCTCCCCGAGGGATGCCAGCTCTCCAAGGCCACCCTGTCCCAGCGGGACAGGGCCCTGCCACTCACCGCTCGTTCTTCTGGAAGCAGATGAGCAACACCATGAGCCCGACAAAGACCAGCCCCAGGCTCAGGAAGAGGAACTGGAGCTCGCTGTCATCTGGGAAGAGGGACAGGGTCACAGGGAGCTGCAGTGGGCACTGCCAGCTGTGCTGTGCCACGAGGCTGGGCAGGACCAGGTCCCCTCCCGTGTCCCCCTGGTGGGGTGGCTGCAGCCCTCACCCAGCACTGTGGTCACCAGGATCAGGCTGGTGCCGTTGGTGCTGCCGGCAGCCGTGGATGCCATGATGTGCACCTTGTACAGGGTTGATGGCTTCAGCCCCCGGATGGCAAAGGAGCTGAGGGAAGGGTTCACGGTGGCACCTGGGGACACACAGGGGCTGTTGGTGAGACAGAGTGCCCCCACCTGCTGGCAGGGACCCTCAAAACTCCCTGACCCTCTCTGAGGAGGATACAGGGACTCCTGGTATCGCCACCCAGCACATTGAGGTGGGACAGAGGGCCAGGTCAGTGGTGCTGCAGGCAGGACTCACTGGCCATGCTGGTGATGCTGCTGGCCCAGAAGATGGTGTAGCTGGTGATGAAGCCGTTCTGCACCTCCACTGGCAGTGGCTCCCAGCACAGCTCGGCCTCTGACTTGCTGATCCTCTTCAGGTGAAGCTTGGGGGCGTGGGATGGTGCTGGAAAGAGCAGGACAAGGAGGGATCAAGTGCTGAGCAGAGCCAGCGCCTTGGGTGGGAACTGATGGGGGGATCCCCCACCATGACGCCCCCAAGGCTCACTCAGAGATGACACAAATGCAGCCCCCCAAGCTGAGCTCTTTGCTACAGCCCCTGGATTTGGGGTACAAGGGGGAGAGGTGGTTCCTCCTTTTGGTGGGGCTCCCTTCCCACATACCTTTCTGCTGGGAGTAGGCTGTGGTGTGGACGGGCACCCCGACAGTGCCCTCGTAGAGGGGGTACACGGAGATGTTGTAGCGCTGGAAAGGTTCGATGCCATCTGCAATGGAGAGCAGGGGGGGCACTGCCGAGAGCCCCCAGCACCACGGTACCAGCCCACCCACCCTGGGGTGCATCCACAGGAAGGAGGGAGGGTGGGGAGTGGGTTGGGGGCTCTGGTTTGGTCAGGATGGGTACCAGAGCCCCCTGGCAGCCCCCCTTACCCTGGATAAGGGCTGTGGTGGCTGCCCCATCACGCTCCATCTGCCAGCACCCGCTGCAGTGCCCAGGCTCTGCTGCCACCCGCTGCCACTCCAGGACATAGGCGGTCACTGGGGCCAGCGGAGCCTCCCAGTGCACCCAGAGGCTGCGCTCATCCCCGGGCACTGCCCGGAGCCCGGACAGCGGCTGACCTGGTGTGGGACAAACAGCCGGGATGGGGAGGAGGAGGAGGAGAGGGAGAAGGAGGAGGAGGAGGAGGAGGAGGAGGAGAAGGAGAAGGAGAAGGAGAAGGAGAAGGAGAAGGAGAAGGAGAAGGAGAAGGAGAAGGAGAAGGAGAAGGAGAAGGAGA